TTAGGAAACAAAACTTCCAGAACACGGCCACACAGCCCGGAAGACCACACCAGCCATCGTATGCCGGCTGTGAAAGCCTTTGACAATACAAACAAACCATGGTTTATCATAGTTCACCAGACAAGCTCACTGTGCTTGTAGCAGTGGCTAGAATTGAGCCAGTGGCTTCCCGTGTTGTTGCTCTGTCTCTGGCCCAGCATTCAGTCCTGATGGGTCTTGAAAGGTGTTTTGAATTCTTCTCCTAAAGAAAATAGGTTTTTGCCAAGCCACAGCGTCTTTGAGTTAATTATTTAATTCTTTAAAGGGCAGTATGCTTAACACGGATCTTTGCAGGGGACGGGTGGGGGGAAACGAAGTCACGCTCAAAATAATGTAATCACGCAGCTAGCACAAATTACATGATCACAGCTGACTTATTTTACGTAAGTCATGGCATTTGCGCATTTTATAATGTATACTTTCAACTTCTACGGCTGCCCACTTGTGCCCATGATGTGATGACTTCTGCTGGACGCCTCTGATGCTTAGATAGCAGAGGATTTCTTTCCTGCTTCTGCAACCGCGTTGTCTCTGCGGGCCGAGCTGCTGTGTGCATCAGGCCCAGTAACAGCTGCTGGGCTTTGGGCTGCCGTGGGGTTTGGAGGACTGAGTGGCTCGCAAATTTCTGGGCTGTTTTTCCTCTTCTCTCCTCCCCCCCCCCTCCCGCTGGCTGCAGAAGCCCTTTTTCTGTTTCACGGTTTCAAGAGGGAGGGGGTTGCTTTTGGCTTCTTTATAGAAGTACAAGGCCCATCTGTCTGGAGAAGGCAGGCAGATGCCAACAGAGGCTGCCTTTAACTTTACCAGACGGATCAAACTGAGCCAAGAATCCAGTGACAACCTTTTGTGCTGATTGCCCGGGCTGGTGAAGAAGGCACGGCAGCACCCCCCTTCCCCTCTCCCCCTCAACGCTCTGGTCTCAGTGTTGGGGCTCAGGCCACCCCCTTGGCTCAGCTCCTCCTGCGAGGGGGCAGTTACTCTCTCTGCTTCATCCGAGGCAAGCCCAGCCTGCAGGTCTCCCTGGAAAAGTGGCTCTTGGCTCCGGAACGGCGGAGAGGTCCTGCGCTTTCACCCAGAGACCACCCTAGTGGAGCTGGGCTCCCGGTGGGCCACAGCTCCTTGGTGCTTACCAGCTTCTGCCTTGCAGCGGCTTTATTTACATCTGCGGGCACACACGTATCCCTGTGCACGCACACCTATACATAAGCCACGATGTTTAAATAGCAATGGAAAATTGGCAGTCTGCAGAGGGAAACCCCAGCCTTCAGCACTGCCCTATTTCCAGGAACGCCTGAGTCTCCTAGACACTTGTAGAAACCAACCCATGTTTGGTTTGGAAGGCTGCTCCTCTGCCCAGAAAGAAGAGGAAGAGGAGCAGAGCTGCGGCAGGGGAAACTTGGGTTCAAACCCATCCTCGGTTGTAGATGCTCTCAAGGAAGCTTTGAGCCAGGCACGCTCTCTGCAGGTTGGCCTCTCAGGGTGGCTGTTGTGGGGAAAAATTGGAGGAGGGAGAGCTATGTATGCCACCTGGAGCAATTGATAAGAGAGACAGGAATCTGACAAATAATATCTGAGTGAGTTGGGAAGAAGTAGTTCAGGAGAGCAAATTCCGACACGTTCCCAGTGTTCCCACTCGCCCAAAGAAAGGTTGGAGACTGCAGGAAGATAACATATCTTGGGTGCGCGTTCCAAAATAGCATTACCAGAGAAGTAAGACGCGGGAGTTGGCTTAGAGTTTAGGGTATCTTTCCGAGCCTGGCACCCTCCAGATGTGTTGGGATATTACACACCAAACGGCTGAGGGGTGGGAAGGCTCAAAAACGGCTAGATTTAACTGCAAAGGGGCTGGCTTCTTGTGGCAATTGCTTGGAGTGTCTTTTCTGCTGTTCCTTTTCCTTGGAGTAGAGTGGTGGGGTGGTGGGGAGAAATCTGTTTTAGGACTTCTACCAGGCAGAGGAAGTTCAGCCCTCCCTTTGAAAAGGGCAAGAAGGCTGGATTTCATGACTATTTAGGGTTATAATGCTAGAGGAAAACAGCATTTCTAAGGAGGACCTTCTGCAGAACTGTCACTTCCAAAATATATGATTTGTTAATTCTGGTGCCTGATGCAATTACAGCCTAACTTTTGAATCAAACTCTGTGGGATCTTTCAGATTACAATGCATATCCTTATATTGCTGTAAATATTTAGTTGCACAGTTAGAATTCTGTACAAACACAAAAAGAGCTTTTGGGTGGCTGGGTGGGCTGTCCTATGGAAATTGCATTGGAAATAATCTGTGACTTCATTGTCCTTGGAGAGAGGTTAAAAAGAAAAGAGATGGGTAGGGTTTTGGAGCTCCAGAGAAGCCCCTACATTTGCACATGGAAAGCTTAGGTGGCACTTAGTTAATGGGCTGCCTCACAGATGAGTCAGACTTCAAGTCCCTCCCATAATCCTCACTTTGTCTGGCTTGGTGATTGGGAAATATGGAAGGTGAAATCATGACTGAAAGGACTTAGTGGGGTGTGTTGCTCTGCTTGATCATCATGTTATTATTTTTCTCCATATATGACTGCCTCATACTTTATCCTTCAGGCTGTTTCACTCTTCTGAATTCTGTTCCCTCCAGTACTCCAAAACCCTCTACTGTAACCTGTGGGGTGAATGTGGCCAATGCTTCCTGGCAAACTATGGTGCTATCATTTCCCCCTCTTTTTCAACCCCAAACCACACCTGATCAGTATGTAAGGCTTACACAGGTAAAACAGTCTTCAAAAATCCTGCCTCTTGAAAGATGTGAAAAACATCTTGGAAATATTGTCTTTGCCCAGCTGTGTAAAGTTCCCAGCCTGCCTCCTGGAGAAAATAACAGTCGTAAGCCCCAGCCCCAGATTACCTCGTCGTCACCCTTAAACGACATTTTCAGTGGGCGTTTGATGGTATGCTCCCATTCATAGTTAAGGGGTTGTCTTCTGGCTGAGGCTGTTCTGTGTTTTGTGTGGTGTCCTGGAGTTTTAATTGTTTTTTCCTTCTAATTCCAGATTAGTGTGCGAGTGACCACCATGGACGCTGAGCTGGAATTTGCCATTCAGCCCAATACAACTGGGAAGCAGCTCTTTGATCAGGTAAGATGACTGGCCAAGAATGAACTGCATCATTTAAAACACCTTGCTTGGGTTGTTCCCCTCAAGTCTGCCCTGATCAGATCCCCGTGGGAGTCCTGTGTCCAGTTCTGGGCACCACAGTTCAAAAAGAACAATGACAAATTGAGTGAATCCAAAGGAAGGCTGCTAAGATGATGAGTCTGGAAACAAAGTCCTATGAGGGACAGTTAGGAGGATCTGAGTATGCGTACCTACAGAAGAGATAGCTAAGGAGAGATATGATAGCAATCTCTAAATATCTGAAGGATTCTCATGCAGAAGAGGGAGCAGATTTATTCTCTGCCACCCCAGAGGGCAGGATCAAAACCAAGGAGCTGAAACTGCAGGGAAGGGAGTTCAGAGGAGGGCTGCCAAAATGGTGGAGGATCTGGAAACCCAATCCTATGGTTAAAGGTTTGGGATATGTTTAGCCTACAGGAGAGAAGGCCGAGAGGAGAGATGATAGCAGACTTCAAATATTGGAAGCATTGTCATGTAGAAGAAGGAGTGAACTTGTTCTCTGTTGCCCCCCCCCCCCCCCCCCCCCCC